GGACCAACTGAATGGCACTTGACAACAAGAACACAGCTCTGGGGTGGGCCATGAACACAGACGAGACATAAATTGGAGGCTGGTCCATCTGTGCCTGTGGACTGCCCTGTCATCTCACTGTGTCGAGAAGGCCCGTTGACCAGCTATACTCACGGATGTCTCTCCAACAGGGGTCACTCTTGGGCGACGGAGGAGAAGTGCCCATTCTTCTGCAATAGAAGACACAGGAAGCAGCCAGGGCCATTCTGTGTGGAGAACAAGTGAGAGAGATAGAATCCAGCACGTTGCTGAAAGCACTTCTCATTATTAAAGCATGTCAGCAGCACAGCTGATGGCCCACAAAATAAGATTTTTCAAAACCAGAGAGGCTCTTGTCAATTTAAAATTTGTTCTTCTCCTTTTAAAACTTAAAAGCAGACTTGTTAAAAATAATATTTTTGTGATGGTTCATATGAACTGGGATTATCAACTAGATTAGCAACTAGAACACCAATGCAGGCATCTAAATATAGACATTACACAAATTACTGTGTTTTTACGGAGCTCTGGTAGTGTAGTAGTTAGTATTTGAGCTGCTAATCTCAAGGTCAGCAGTTTGAAACCACCAGCGGTTCTGCAGGAGAAAGATGAGGCTTTCTGCTCCTGTAAAGATTTACAGCCTCCGAAGTCCTCGTACAGTGTCACTATAAATCGGTGCCGACTCCACAACATATAACCACCACCAATGTGGGTTTATACAAATAACACACACCTTCTATGTTTATTTGCCAAATGTTCCCTCCTTCCTTGCTGAGATGTTTTTTAAAATGCCTCTACGCCAATTTGTTTAAAGAAAGAAAAGAGAAAGTAATATAGCAAAAATACCTCTCATGGGAAAGGAGTGGTTGGCGAAGAAATGTAGAAGGCGAGTAATTCACGTGAAAATGAAGACTGTATATTTTATATTACATTATATATATATATATATATAAATTTGATGACCAAGGCCCTGCAGAAATGAGAAGCTCTATCTGAATAGAAGATTTACTTAGAACCCACGAAAGTAATGTAAAACTCGAAACTGCCGAAACTGTGTAAGATGGAAACCTGTCAGAGATGAAAAACTCAAAACATTTCCCACCAAGAGGCCACAGAGGCATGGTAAGACTGCAGCCTGTCTGAGACAAAGAACTCTCGGGACCTGGAAAAACAAGGCAGTCTCCCCTAGTTTCTGCTCTCAGCTGTCTCACTGTATTTCATCTTCCTAGCTCCTTCAGGATGGTACCCAGCATTGCTGAAAATCTCTGCAGGTCACTATTAGCATCAAACCAAACTGCCCAGTGAACTCATCAATTGAGTCAAGATGATGTAATATGATGCAATGGTTTCTAGAACAACTCAGTATTCTACTTCAGACAGGAAAAGGAAGATGGCTTAAAGGTTTCCTGAGAAATGGCCCTTTGACCATATAGAAAGCCTTAGCAGCTTCATGGGAGAATTGCTTGGTATCTATTTATTAAATATCCACTTCTTGTTGTTAAGTGCCGTCGAGTCAGTTCTGACTCAGAGCTGCCCTGATAGGGTTTCCAAAGAGCAGCTGGTAAATTTGAACTGCTTTGTGGTTCAAAGCAACCTTGCGGTTCAGGGCTTTGTCCCACAGCGCCACCCCAGAACTCCACTAGAGGTAATCCATGTGGAATCCCATTCGTAGGCTCACGGATACAGACAGTCCCTGTGTCCATGAATGCTGTTTCTCCCTCAGCCTCTTTCTTTTATCAAACTCACATTCATCCTTTTAGTCTCAAATATTACATTCTCATCCAGCTGCTAGTTCTTACACATAGACCTCAAGTAACTTCCCTCTACTCCCTGTAAAGCTGTCCAGTTCATTCCTAGGCCCCATTTCTCCCCCGATGGTATTAGCAAGGGCCCTGATGGCACAGTGGTTACAGCACTTGGTTGTTCCCTAAAAGGTTGGCGGTTGAAACCCATGCAGCAGCTGCTCAGGGAAAAGACCTGGTCCTCTACACCTTTAAAGATTACGGGGGGGGGTGACAGTTCTACTCTGCCACATGGGACCACCGTGACTTGAAATCGACTTGCCAGGACCAAACAACAGTAAACTTACAAAACTGCTGCTTTAAAGCTAAGAGTCTTCTCACTTATTTAACAGGTTGTGGCAATGTCTCTATGGGACATGTTGTTGTGTGCCACAGTCGATTTTAGACTCGTAGTGACCCCACATGATAACGTAGAACTGTCCCAGGATTCTGCAGGCTGTAATATTTATGGGCGCAGATCTACAGGTCTTCCTCCCATGGAGCCGCTGGGTGGGTTTGAACTGCCAGGTGACATCACGCAGCCGAATGCTCCTTGGAAGCAGGGATGGCAGGACTTGTCTCTCGTATTTTGGACATGGTATCAAAAGGATGCAGTCCTTGGAGAAGGACATCATGCTTGGGAAAGCAGACTGTCAGCGAAAGAGAAGAAGACCCTCAGCCTGGTGAATTGACACAGCAGCTGCAGAAATGGGCTCAAAAGTAAACCTTGTGGGGGTGCCACAGGACCGGGCAGTGTTTCATCGTGTTGTGAGGGTGCCGCGGGACTGGGCCGTGTTTCATCGTGTTATGAGGGTGCCACGGGACTGGGCCGTGTTTCATTGTGTTGTGAGGGTGCCGTGGGACCGGGCCGTATTTCACTGTGTTGTGAGGGTGCCGTGTGACCGGGCCTTGTTTCACTGTGTTGTGAGGGTACCGTGGGACCGGGCCGTGTTTCACTGTGTTGTGAGGGTGCCGTGGGACCGGGCCGTGTTTCACTGTGTTGTACATGGGGTTGTCAGGTGTTGTTGACTCAGTTCCGACTCATGGCAACCCCATGAACAACAAAAACACGCCAGTCCTGCACCACCCTCACAATGGTTATGTCTGAGCCCACTGCTACAGCCGCTATGTCAATCCCTCCTGCTGACAGCACCTAACAACAATCTGGGATAAAGCACTGGACCACATGGTCAGCCTGAACCGCAGGATCGGCGGTTCAAACTCACCAATCGCTCCTTGGAAACCCTATATAGGCAGGGTCGCTATGAATTGGAACCGACTCAACGGCACATAACAACTGGGGTTCCTAGTACTGTAACCCACCCAAAGTCACTGTCAATTCCAGCTCACGGTGAGCCCACTGGACAGAGCAGAACTGCCCCATAGGGTTTCCGAGACTTGTCAGTCTCTACGGGAATGGACAGCCTCATCTTTCTCCTGCAAAACAGCTGGTGAGTTTAAACTGCTGGCCATGAGGTTAGCAGCCCAGTGCTTAACCCACAGGGCCACCAAGGCTCCTTTCACTGTGGTAAAGAAAGATAGTGTGAATTCAAACCCCACGACCACCAGTCCACGTGTCTTCCTCAGTCCTCAGTCCAATGTACGGGAATTTTCTAGTTGGCGTTTCTATGAGCGGGTAGTCCCGTGAGACTAGCACTGCTGGGCTAAGATGCTAGCAAACTCTACCTGCAGGTCTGGCCCAAGCACGTAAGGTGGAAACCATCAGGTCTTTTGTAAGGCACTGTAGGATCAGGTTGGACTACAAAGTCGGCAGTTCAAACCCACCAGCCACTCTCGGAGACTCTATGCAGGGTTGCTATGAGTTGGAAACCACTCGATGGCACTTAACATCACGTCTCCCTCAGTGCTGCAACTTTCTACAGAGCCATTCCATCTCTGCCGTCTCATCCCAAGTTCTTCTCTTCCATTCTAACTACAATGTTTATCTGTTCAGAGGGATTCGAGGGGGCTGCCCCCAACTGTAAAAGTAACTTTCTAAACACGATCACATTATTCTCTTACTTCCAATATTTCAATCATGTCCCATTGTCTAAATCACTGTTTCTTCAACTGTGGCCTCGGGACAATTAGTGGTCCCAAGTCATTGTTCAAGAGGGCTGCAGGTGACCCTCAATTTGGATAAAAAAGTGATGAAACAATTTTGTTCACAGACTTTTTACCCTCATTTAAAAAGGTGTGTTCTAGACACAGTCATGTTTCCTGTGAAGTGTATAGTTCCAAGGTTTTGATAAACAGTCAATTCAAACATAAACCCCTCAAAGATTCTGTGCCCTTTCTTTATCCCTATAGTTTCACCTTTGTAAGAAGGACACATAAATGGGATCATACAGTACGTAGCCTAGGAAACTGACGTCTTTCACTCAGCAAAATGAATCTCAGACTCATCAAGGTTACTGTATTATAGTTCATTCTTTTTCATGGTTAGTACGAGTCCAATTTATGGTTGTGCCAGTTTCACTATACATTCTCTAGCTGGACATTTGGGTTGTTTCAGATTTTTGGTGATTATGAATAAAACTAATTAAGTATTTGCATACAGGGTACAGTGTGAACATAAGTTTACATTTCACTTGCCTATAAACCTAGGTGTGGGTTATACAGTAGGAATACTTTAACTTTATAAGAAAATGCCAAACTTTTCCAAAGTTGTTGTTGTTGTTGTTATATGCCGTGGAGTCGGTTCAAACTCATAGCGACCCTGTACAGAGTTTCCAAGGCTCATCTTTACGAGAACAGAAAGCCTCATCTTTCTCCCACAGAACAGCTAGTAGTTTCGAACTGCTGATCTTGCGGTTCATAGCCCAATTCATAACCACTACACTACCAGAGCTCCTATTTCCAAAGTAGATATACCATTTTGTTTCTGTTTTCCTTTTTTTAAAACTTTTTACTGTGACTTGAGTGAAGGTTTCCAGGCCAGATGATCAGATTTACAGTCAACAAACCATACGCTGTTTCATGTCAATGTTGAGATGAACTATAGTGCATCCCCATCAGTAATGTGTTCCAGTGGTCCTGCATCCCCACTAGTACTTGGTGTGGTCCGCCTTTTCAATTTTACCTACTGTATTTAATAAGATCAACCCCAATGACTATAGCATTCTATTAAGCTTTAATATGTGGTTATGAAACACTTTATTTAATTTTCATCTTCTTTAAAAATGGCTTAGCAAGTGATGGAGTATGAGATTTCAGGAGGGAATCTACAGCAAAGGCAGCTGGGATACTTGACGTGGCCATTTGTGCCTGCACTGAAACCGGTTAAAGGAGAGGCTAAGGTGTAACTTTAGGGGTTCTACTATGCATGCGCACAGATCTCCTTGAAATTTAAAGTAACAGTTTCGACATAAAACCAACCGGCCACTACTCGTCTGTCTGTCATACAGTGGTGGCTTGTGAGTTGCTGTGATTCTGAGGGCTATGC